GCTTCAGCCGTTGTTGGATGTGTGCGGCCTCGGGAATACAGAGCGTGAGTTGGATGTGTGCGGCCTCGGGAATACAGAGCGGGAGTTGGATGTGTGCGGCCCCGGGAATACAGAGCGGGAGTTGGGAGTTGGATGTGTACGGCCCCGGGAATACAGAGCGGGAGTGGATGTGTGCGGCCTCGGGAATACAGGGCGGGAGTTGGATGTGTGCGGCCTCGGGAATACAGAGCGTGAGTTGGATGTGTGCGGCCTCGGGAATACAGAGCGGCAGTTGGATGTGTGCGGGCCGGGCCCAGAGCGGAGGGAAATACAGAGCGGGAGTTGGATGTGTGCGGCCTCGGGAATACAGAGCGTGAGTTGGATGTGTGCGGCCTCGGAATACAGAGCGTGAGTGGATGTGTGCGGCCTCGGGAATACAGAGCGTGAGTTGGATGTGTGCGGCCTCGGGAATACAGAGCGTAAGTTGGATGTGCGGCCTCGGGAATACAGAGCGTGAGTTGGATGTGTGCGGCCTCGGGAATACAGAGCGTGAGTTGGATGTGTGCGGCCCCGGGAATATAGAGCGTAAGTTGGTACGCACCACTATTTAGCGCCGCCACGGAAATCTCCGTACGGTAGCCGAAAAGCGAAGTGCATGATGCAATGCAGCATTCGCGCTGGACATGTTCGGCGCGGCTAGTGTTGTTTTGAAGTTCATTGTCAGACGATTCCTTCAATCGGTTTAGCCGGCTGTCATTTTGTGATCGGCTCCAATCATCCATGGTTTTTGCGAACTTAGACGGCTGGTAAATTTGTGAGGTTCTTGGATGCTAATATTCGGCCGATTTGTTGTAATTGTTCAATAAGCCATTACGACAGAATAACGAAACTTTTCGCAGTTCGAAGAACTTAAAACATCACTGAATGATGACAAAATACTCAAGACAATAACGCAAAATCAGACCAGAGTCAACAAGACACATACATCATGTAATTAAAGACGTGCAGCATGCAGCAAAAGCAGACAATACTGTCTAAACGCATAGCTTAAAAGCATGACTAGCTCATTCAGCTGCACTCAGTGGGACACAACGTCACAGTTTTAATTCGCTTCGTCCGTTTTTCCTGTGAGACGTTTATTATAAACCTTCATTAAGACTGACATAATTTTGAGCTCTCATTTTTACCATTCTGCTTGTGCTCAGACTCCAGGAAATAAGGGGCGAGGAAAAACTCGCCGTTAGGGGAGGGATGCAACGTGGACATGGAAGGGGGTAGTAGCCCATCCAAAAGGATGTAAATTGACACCCCTGCCCCTGGCCTGATGCACAGATGGCAGTTCGCAGATGACTCAGATTCAGATGCACGTTTGATAAATACCTAGCACGTTAAAACAAAAACGCGATAGTTCTCATGGCGGATTATAGGTACAGCCAGTTTATCATGAATATTAGCTATGAGCATCATCCGATTGGTAGATACCTTGTCGTACAGGTGAGGGAAGGCACCGTTGGCGTGATATTTGTCCCTAACGCGCTCGTAAGCGGTCAGGTCAAACATCTCCTCGAACTCCTTCCGCGACATGAAGATGTCGGCGTAAAGGAAAGGGTAGCCGCCAACATCCCGGCAAAACCTGCAGGGCACGGACAGTTGGCTATCAGACGAGCAAAGGGGATCACCTGGGCACGTGACACGCAGGACGTACAGCTCTTATGCTGTAGGGAACACAGCGAGTTGCAATTCCACAAGATATTTCATGTGCGCTCAGAGCATGTCAATAAAATAACTGACCCAGTCAGATTGGTAGAGGCGTCGAAACAATAAAGAAAGAAAATTGCTGGCTCCACATATGCTGGCATGAAAACACTTTTGTCACAACCGGGTACCATATTATACACAAGGAAAACTTCAAAACGCAGTTCCGCGGTTCTTATAAGCGCGTTGTGCCGGCGAAGCTCCCGTTCGCCAGCAGTGACTGACTTCTCCATGGCGCGCATCTGGCGAACGGCATCGTATCGTTGCTTGCGTCGCACCGGTCCCGGCACGCCGTACACGCCCAGGTCGTTAAACATGGCCCAGCCGGCACCAGGGCACAAGCTGGTCAGGCCTCGGGGGACGCAGCTGACCCCTGCCGGAGTGTCGGGGGTCAAGAGTGATCGTACACCACTCAAGCGGAGAGGGGGAGAAATGGGCAACGACAAGGCAGACGTGTCCCTGGATCCCATGGAAATCCTAAATCACAAAACACGCTTCCACAATGTTTCAAACAGGATCCCAAGCCTTTCAAAACTCTTAAGCAACTTTTGTTTAAAGAACCCAGATCTTAGAAAATTCTTGGTACACATCAAAAACATCTCAGACACAAGAGCATTCTTCAGCAAAACCTAAAAAGAACCTGGATCTCAGAACGTGGCCAGATTCCAGATAACCGGAGGCCTTCTGATATCTACAACACATTGCAAGACTTACAATGTTTGTAGATATGCCGTCCAAAGGTAAAACCCATGTGTTAATTCTTGGCCGTTTTAGGTTTTTGATGTCTTCTGATGCGTCTACTCATGCTAGATTTGGTTATTAAAACCATCGGTCCAAATTTTCACAAGCTTTTAACGCATTATTTTAACTAAAAGCGCGTGCAATATATGAATCATTGGTTTAACAATCTGAATTTATGATGAGGAGACGAATCAGATGACATAAAAAACGCAAAATGGCCAGAAATGGACATGTGGAGTTTTACCTTTGGACGGCAGAAGTCTCAGGAGATCCTGGTATCACCTTCAGCAGAATTTTCAAGCTTTCAAAAACCATAAAGTGGACAAACTAAATGTCACTACAGATCAGCTTGCCAGAGACCTTAGTAAAAATGATGATATAACAGTTGAATATAGCGGTAAGTGTAAGGGCATTGTAGTTTCTTTATACCATAGCATAAATAAAGTGTAAAGGCTTTGCAAATGATCTTCAAGATCGCTATTTTGGTTCATAACCCCATGCAAATGAGGAGCATTCTCTTTAATACTTAGTTGGATACACACCGTATCGTATCAATGGCTGCCAATTGCTCATCTTTTAATCCCCTAAATGTTGGTGACTTGTAAAAGCTGTTGCTCGCTATTAAAAGGAAAAATCGAGTGTGATCGAAAGGCAACTTTGCATGTTGAATGCATTACTCATATGAGTTTCGATAAATACAAGTACCCGAATATCAATGCACTATCCTTTCTCCTGGTTATCCTATGGCGACAACAGTGCTGTCTTATCTATATGCATAATGTTCCTCACAAATGCACTTAACAGCTGAAACGATTTACAAACCATGAAGGACAGAGAATATGGCATGACAGGCGTGACAGCGGCCATATCAACTTTGAAAAGCGAAGCAGCCGCCCCAACTGCATAGGTACGGACTGGAAAAACAAATACATTCCATGGAAAGAGCTTCTCATTAGCCCTCACACTACGCATGTTTTTCACTCGCACGGGGCCGACCACATCACAGGCCCGTCCTCACATCTCCGAAAACAAACAAGCTAAAGACATGGAGAAAACGGCAATGGAAAGCTCTCGTAAAAATGAACCAGATGGCTGTGACAAAGTGATGAAGCCTTCCTCGGTTGACGTGGGATGACCTGACTACAAAAAACAGGACAACAGCAATATACTTCCGAGTGATATGGATACGAAAATAGATCTAGGCTATCTCACTGAGCACGGTACATTGTGCCCGAAACCGTCAAAATGTACTCCGGAAAGACCCGAGGGGGGGGGGGCTCTTGAAGCTCCTTGTACAGCTTTGCCTAGTAATACACACCGGCTCATATCTATTAAATCCTGGTTGTTTCTCACACTGCTGATGGAGCTGGCAGCCATTCCCCGAAAAGTGACGGACGTCAAATATGTATACATATGTATGTATATATGTATATATATATAAATATATATACATATATACATATAGATACATGGTTCTCGGGCTAGGGGGCCACCTTAGCCCCCTCCCCCTAAAATGGTCCACTTATCCCCCAATTTACAACACATCGATTCTGGGCCACTGTATACTGAGCGAGGCCCTTTAATCGTGATTGTCAAAACCGAGCTTTTTTGGAAAAGCGGCTAATTTGACCAGAGGGCACACCTATCCACTTTGCACCTCACTTCACGTTTAAACAAGCCGAAAAAAACGCGGAAGCCAGGCTTAAGATTACGGATTTGTCTTTGTTTGAAGAATTAGCCGGCATGCGTCTCCACGATCCTGGACCAACCAAGCCTTCACAGATCCCAGCCGAATCCATCGTTCTTTCCAAAGAGAAGTCCAGCATATCGTCCATTGCTGACTTGAATGCGCCGATGGCGCGCTTAAGCGATGGCGACCAACATCACCAGCGACGCAGCCTTCAAAGCCTCAGTTGCTAGTGGCGGTATTAACGTGACGTTTTGCGTGCCACAGTGAACAGGGGTGGGCAATCCTGCGTCACCTGTTAAACCTCGCCCTGATTCGCCGCTTTTCGTAACGCGACTGGTAAGGGGGGGGGGGGCGATCGGTGCGACGGTCCTCCTGCCGTGCCCAAACTATGAAACATATAGCCTTCGGAAAAGCAACAGTCGATTGGTCTCGACCAAATCTCGCGATTTATAACAAAAGTTAGGATACTGGGTCAAGAATGTATCCCACTAAGCCAGGTCAAATGTCAACTTTTTCCACAATCTCACCTTTTCGGCTCTACATGCTCATGTGTAGGTACGAGACCACGCCTCACAGCAACACAAAACTTAAGAGGCGTATACTTGTTCAATTCTGAGTACGACAGAATGCATTTCTAGATGTTTCGAGCATATCTTTATGATGTAGGGCTTCGTTAATGTAACAGGGTCGACCCGCCGCGTGTGGTCCGGGGAACTGTCGGTTGCCGCCCGCCGCACGCGCCAACCGTATATCACCGTGCATTATATCTAAATTGACGTCGCTCTTCAGAAACCTCAAATGCTAGGGGTACCTTTTTGTGTCAAAACATGCGTAATGGATGCCACATAGACTGCCGAAAACTTGGGCGCATGTGCACGACGTGCAGGAAAGATATCCTAAGAAAACCTTAGGGAGGCCAGCACCGAACCCCACCCCCACCCCACCAATGTAGAAAAGGCGTCGATGAGTTTCTGATACTCATTTGTCAGCTAATCCACCTAGCTAAGTAAATCAGAGAATTTCATGACAAATCGTTTACGATCGTCTTCTTTGTTGTGCAGGGTGTTACGTGCCATGCCTACCGTTCATAGCATACGCAACCAGACCACAACCCGCATCTCTAATTGAACAAGCGGCGTTAGACTGACAGTCAGATGGGATGGCTTAGCGTGGACACAGACTTACGTGTGTTTCCCGTGATCGTATATACGGCACGGGTAGATCAACACGGGGTACGTGTCAAAGAGCTCCTCGCTTATGTCGATCTGCTTTTCAAGAATGTTCATGGGAAGAACGATGTCTTGAAATACCTGAAATATGGGACGGGCTTTACAGTATTTGTCGTAGTTCTAGATTCCATGTTTTGCATGGTGGCGCGTCATTCTATGATGCCCGAAAAGTTCAACAAGAAGGCATTCAGTTGAAGAAAATCACCACACGAAATCAGTAATATAAAAACCCGGTTTAAATTTGAACATGCCACCTTTATAGTGCGCTTTTGCTGTCATATCTTAAAGAGATATGTAACGCGATCAATTAACAGGCTACAGACAGTTGGGCACTGCATATGAAACGCCTCAATTCTTTTTCCGCTCAATCCTGGGCTGCACGGCGCGCCAGTGACTCGGTGCTCCCTGCCGCAGCGCCAAGGCAGTTCGCCATCTCACTTGTTTGGTGAAAGTCATAGCCCGGACTCCTGGAGTTGTAGTGAGCTTTAAGAAGGCTGGCTTCGGCGGCAGCAGCCAACCAAGGAAAAACCTGCACAAAGAGCGTTCATGTTTCATTATTACCACGAGCTTATAATTTTTCCTAGCCACGTGAAGCTAGCGACATGTGCACACATTTGATCCGCACAATCATGCGCCATGCACCGATCATCATATTGGGAAAGACGACGCTGATTGGCTGCCACGTAAATGTGGTATCGCTGGACGCGGCAGGACGGACCATGCAGCAGAAACAGCCCGTTTCAGCGGAAGTTTACGTGATTCTCTGCTGCTTTCTGAAGCATGACATATTCCTTTGCACGCAGGGCGGAAGACCTCACCTAAAGATCGGGTTGTTGCCGAACGGTATCATGGCCTCGACCACCCAAAAGATGGCGCGGTTGTGGCGCAGCAGGTACTCCCGCAGCGGAATGTACTCGTCCGCCCGACCCCCGCTCAGGAAGCTCTCGGCGTGTTTGTAGAACCAGGGTTTGTACCAGCGCGCGATGTGGTTCACCTGCAAAGGGAGTACGAGTTGCGTTCGTCGCTCCGGTGTCAATGGTTTCCACTCCCCGTGAGACCATTTCAAAGCTGGACGGCGAGGTCTTGGATACGGCTATGACCCGAGAACTACTGTGCCTCAAACGTCGGCCGAAGTCCAAACTGCAGTTAACGTGTAATGTGACTTCCCATCCACTAGCCGCGGATGCATTTTGGCACGAGAGCACGTCGCCGCCGTTGCTCAGCACAGCTTCTCATTGGCAAAACCTTATTTTGCTTCCAAATGCGAAGGCTGAAAGCTCCTCAAACCTTCAGAAGCTCTTGAAAATAACGCGCGCAACATTTCCCTTGTTGCACGACCTAGGGCTCAAACTGAGGCGTTGTGGATTGAGTGCCACCCGGCCCGGGACATGCCGCTCGCGACCCACGCCGCGCGCGGACCCGCGCCGCCCCGTCACGGCACTGTGCTGCGCGGCCAAAAATGCACATTTTGTCATATTTTACAGATAGTTACGCTTCCCATCGCTACCCGGAGTTTTGCTTAAAGTTTACGTTTTCTTGTTGAAAAGCTGTCGTTTATGCGTAATCTCATAAGATCTGCGCCATCAAGCGCGGAAAGCAAACTGACTTATACTGACACAGCCCTGAGGTACGTCAGGCATTTCCGCGATGATATTATCCATAGGAACATTGGTGTTTAGTGATACATCAATTGTGAATAAAAAAAGGCAGCTGTAGGGAGCTTCAAGGAAGCATTTTACTTTAAAGTTTTCAAGTAGTGACACGGAACTGGTCAAATGTGCTGGCGCAATTGAAGGAGTTGGTTGCGTTTCTGTGGATTTCAAGACCACATGAACTCTTACCACCGATGCATTCAGTTTTCACCCGGGGGTCAGGATGAGCACGGCTCTTTCCCGTTTAGACGTCCTCTTGACACGTCCCGAAACAAGTACAAACTAAGCTTTACGTAAAAGGAACGCACGCTGGTATAACCTTACATTATTAATCCGCACATCCAGGGCCACACAATTTTTTTTTAATTAGCCACGGCGGCTGTTAATCTTTCAACCACGCGGTAGGCAATTCACTGCAGCAAAATCCGTGTTCCACCTAGATTCCAAAGTAACAGACATTCCTCGAGATAATTTCAATCTTAATTAAAAAGTTACCAACCAGCGTTCCAGTCGCGCTCATCCACCAGAAAGAAAAAAATATGGTATACCTCAAATTATCCTACATCGACGGCGAATTGTGCCGTAATATCGAAAAATCCTTCAAAAATATTGGCAAAAAATAGTGGCGTTACTGTACTACACAGTAGAAAATACAGCGTTCAGAATCTACAACTGCCTATGGGAGGATGCCCGGGAGCGACGCGACGGCCCAACAATTACCTCGCTACATACTATGCTTGCTGATCAGATTATCTCTGAAATCAGCCACAGGTCAGATTCCGTCAGCTGAAATCAGACCAGCAGCTCCGGACCACTGAAGCGGCTAGTGCTGTTGGGTCAACGCCGGTAGTATTTAGGTTGATAAATTATCGGGGTGCTGGTAATGTAGTGGTTAAGCTGAGCGTCTTGGAATCCAGAGGCACGGAGTTCGATACCCCGCGGCGCCCGCTCTTCCCACCAGGGTGCGAGCAAGGCGACGCCAAGCCGCTTCAGCAGCTTGAGTGCGTCGCAGAGTCTCAATGACGGTGACTAAATGATCAGATTGCTATGAAAACCGTCCCAAACTGGACATCTTCCAAAACCGTACATGTTTGCCAGGGTTGATAGAGGCCGAGGTGCCAGCGCTCTCCATCAAAACAGCTCACGCCGGTGCGACACGACCCACCTCGTGTTCCTGTGAGGCCGGCAAGTGCGCCGGGCTGTTTGAGCCTCGTAACTGACCTTGTGTTCCTGTCCGGCCGGCAGGTCCGCCAGGTTGCCGACCATGATGACCGCCTGGTTCTTGCTGTACACGGTACCCTCCAGGTAGTCCGCCGTCTGAAGACACGAGTGACGCACTGAACAAGTCACCGAGGGTGCAGAGCATGCGAAGAGCCGTCGCTCAACCGGATAACCAGAACATGCATAGCATAGCAGACCGAACACACGATTCAGAGGCCAACACGCATGGTCAGTGTGCCACTACCCTCGCTAAATCATGTCGCCGTTTTACCCGATTGATCCTTCGCGGTTATGCATAACTCACTGCAACTGCCAATCGATATGAAATATATCCCAACGGGCTTGTGTAATTAAAAGGGTCTGTTCTCCATTTCTTTGGGATTTGAACTGAGAACGCAATTCTCATCATAATTACCAGCAGTTTACAGTCATGTCCTTTTTAAACCTTCAGATCCTTTTGTAGCTGAACTTGGTGCACGTGAACATGTGCGGCCTGTTAGGCGCTGCCTCTGAGAGAGCCACCCAGATATGTATGCCGTCGTAGATACATTACGCGAATAGCCCACCTCGTTGACCGTGTTGTGCCCGTGGTCAACAAAAGTTTGACCGGTTTCTTCTTCGTGCTTTCGGTGAAGTAGGATCAAGTGTCTCAATGATAGAAGGCTATTGGCTTATAGCTAGTTTCAACTGATGATGGCTTGTATCGATCACGAACCACGTTTTGTAACAAATAAGATAGGTATTTGGACAGTTCTGCTATTTACGACCGCATAAGTTAAAAAAGCACCGTAATCGAGAATGTAAATACTAGTAATATATATATATATATATATATATATATATATATATATATATATATATATATATATACATACATCACGGAAAAATATGCCGGAGCACCAAGATAAAAAGCCAAACCACAAGCGCATACCGCAAGTAATAAAAACTTAAACGGCTAGACCACTAACGCCATCTTACAGTGCGTAGACGAACCACAAGGGACAGAGCAGCAGTTATGACATGGACAGACTGACAGCGACTCTGACGTCATAAAAAAACGTTCCATAACGTTATCAAGCGATGACGTAGTAACGACCGGGTGCTAACTAGTTGGTGGGATCATGTCTATCAAAACTAGTAGCATTGCCCAAATGCCTGTGTTCTCTTTCACAAAACCCGGTTCGTGGTTAATACAGGCCATCAGTAGTTTCAAATGGTCGCTGGCTAATTGCCTTCCATCGTTGAAACACTTCGTACCGACATACTCCAGACACGAACGCCCGGGGGCCGTATGTTTCATGACCGTGAGCACAGCACAGCGAATGACGTGGGGCATTCGTGTGACGGTTCTATGACCTCATACATGTTTGGTGACTTCGAAATAGGCGTCGCGAAATAGCTGCTCAAGTTTGCGTGCGTCAAGCTCAGAAACAAGACGCTTTGGAGTCTTACAAAAGGACATGGTCGTGAACTGCAAGGAAAAATCTTGAAATGCCTACTCGATCATAAAATTCAAACCTTTATGGAATAGTCCCTTTCATACTTAAATCCCGTTGTGTATGATGACGATCGGCCAGTAACAGTCAGATTCCGTCAAATCACACCAGCTTTACGAGTGAGACAATTTGCTTGCCTGTTTATCCTTGTCGCAGGCGCCGGAGAGGTCCCGCATCATGTCGCAGTACTTTTTCTGGCCGGTCACCGGGATGTACTCCATGTGCACGTACGGCTACGCAGGCAGACAACATAAGGCCGAACACATGTCACAAGTGTGTAGCCAGGGACATGTACAAGAGCGGGTGAAAATGAAATGCCCAGAAAACTGCTTCTGCTCGTATAACGTGAACCAAACTTGTTTCGCCACTGTTTCGTGGGACACACGACCGATTCATCACGGACTCTTAATTTAGCCAGAGGTGTAGGCAGAAAATGTCTGCGCCGATGACTGAGTTCGCTAAGATACGTTCGTGGGTAAAATGGTAGCGAGTGAGTCAGGGGCATCTCACGGGTACGACACGTGACAAATACATACAGACCCAGGCATCGTTTTTGCGATCGTCGGGAACTTGAAGCAGTAGTTCCACGAGCCACCGCTTGTGGAAGCGCAGCCTAACCGCGCGCACAACATATATGAGCAGGTGAAGCACATTTGTATCCCATCGCCATATAATGCAAAATGGTTGTGGAGGTCCCCCACCTTGACCCTGATGATCTCCAGCTCGAGCGCCACCAGGAAGCCGAGTGTTCCGTGTGACCAGGGTAGCGTGTAGTACAGGTCCTGGTACTCGTTGTCGCGGGTCACGCGTGCCAGCGTACCGTCGCCCAGCACGACCTCATAAGCGCGCACCGTCTCCTGGTACAGGCCCACCTGACCATCCGGCGCATAAAACGATGAACATCAATCGGTGGCACAATTTCAACAGCGGGAAACGCTTTCATTGGGTACAAAGCCACAACATACCTCGCGAAGTTCGTTATTTTTGGTTTATTGATGTGAGGTCAAGGCGCCAACACACACACACACACACAACACACACACACACACACACACACACACACACACACACACACACACACACACACACACACACACACACACACACACACACACACACACACACACACACACACACACACACACACACACACACACACACACACACACACACACACACACACACACACACACACACACACACACACACACACACACACACACACACACACACACACACACACACACCACACACACACACACACACACACACACACACACACACACACACACACACACACACACACACACACACACACACACACACACACACACACACACTCTCTCTCTCTCTCTCTCTCTCCTCTCTCTCTCTCTCTCTCTCATTATGGAAAGCATCAGTCAACAGCTTCAGAGCAGCCATACGTCTTTTGTTGTTTCGATGAAAGCGGATAATGACACAATATTATGGCAACATGTTCACGATACCAATATTGGCCTTTAAGATATCTAATCGCATAAGGCACCGGGAGAAATAATCGATAGGCGGCCGGTGTTACCTTGTGCGAGTAGGTGGTCATGCCGACACCGAATGCCAGGCCTCCGAGGGTGGCGTCTGCGATCTCCAGGGTCACCGCCAGCGTGTAGCCTGCGGCAGCGCACCACAGCTATCGGTCAAGTACACACGGGAACCAGTTCGTGGTCACCGCCAGCGTGTAGCCTGCGGCAGCGCGCTACAGCTATCGGCCAAGTACACACGGGAACCAGTTCGTGGTCGCTGGTCAAGCGCGGTGATCAAGCAAGGAAATAACTCTCATCCCCATGTGATGACAGTTATTTCCATAGGTGTTAAGGAGAGGCGCAATTTGTTGGCCCGCCAATCTGCAACAGTTGACCCGAATGTAGTCCGTGGGCTATTTACCGCGTTAGGCATACATGACGAAATTCTGTGGCGCAAAATAATTGAAAAACAAAATGAATTCCTCGCTTAGCTTTCACTTACACTCATCCATTATTTTTTGCGTTCACAATCACCGACCGAGAACGACTGAAATGGCTGGTATATTACGAAACACAAACGTACAAACACGCTTATCAAAACGACATAATTCTTCACGCGATCAGGCGGTCTGCGCAACGTATACGGTTGCACAAACAACGCTCACAAGTTGGATTTAGCAAGCTGTGATCCGCCTGTCATGAACCCCATGCCCAGTCATTGATACGATTCGTCTGCCCCTGTCCCCAAATGTGCTCAAATTCCGCACCGTGCGAAGACGCAACTTTTCCCAAAATCTCAATACGCACTTCCCCCCCCCCCCCCCCCCACCCACCCGATTTCTAGCATTTGTTTGCCCGTCGGCGTCCCATGGAGGCCCGTCTCGCCGCCATACTGAGGTGGCAGCAACGTGAAATATGCAGCGTTCTAGCATACTTTTTGTAACCGCGTACTTCGCATGCAAGCGATAGCGATTTAAGCACTAGTGAGTGCTCATCTGTGTTCATAATTTTGCCTATCCGCAGACGCTAAATCTGAAAACATTAGTCCTGATATATTTGTGAAAAGCTATGCTCTGGACTGGTGGTGCTGTAAGCGTGCGAGCACGAAGTGAAGGCATTGCCGGTAGGAGCTCTAGTGAAGTGCACGCACCCACGCACGCACGCACACACGCACGCACGCACGCACACCTGGCTAGGGTAAAAATTTACTATTCAAAGCAACTAATCTGAGGCGGGATTTAAACTTCAAATCAGCGGTAGAAGACTCGGAGCCAGCAAGGCCAAACGTCAGCAGAATTGACCTCTCGGGACGACTTGAGGCCAGCGAGGACGGGCCTCAGCAGAACTGACCTCTCGGGATGACTCAAAGCCAGCGAGAGCGGGCCTTACAGTACTGACCTCTCGGGACGACTCGAAGCCAGCGAGAGCGGGCCTCAGCAGCACTCACCTCTCGGGACGACTCGAAGCCAGCGAGAGCGGGCCTCAGCAGTATTGACCTCTCGGAACGACTCAAAGCCAGCGAGAGCGGGCCTCAGCAGTACTGACCTTTTGGGATAAGGTACTCGGTGATCTGGCCAGCGAGAGCGGGCCTCAGCAGTACTGACCTTTTGGGATAAGGTACTCGGTGATCTGGCCCACAGTGACCATCGGCTCCACCCTAACCGTCATCTTGGACTCGTCCAGAGACAGTATATCATATAGAGGAATTGGAACACGGTGGCACAGGTCCTGTGGGGTGAAGCCAAAAGACATCAGTCAGAACCTTTGGGATAATGACCCGCTCAGGTCACGGTACGTCGAGATGTTGCTCAACTGGTAACAGATATCTCAGAGCAGTTCTCGAGCGTGATAACTGAAGCCATAATCTCAGTACCTCGGTTAAGCACCACACGCATCCAATCTGTAGCCTGTGATATCAGCGCATGATCTAATGTCACAAGCGCCGCCGTAACCTGGTGTAGGTGGGCCAGCCATCCAGCCTGCCCGCCATTCATAACTCCACACTGCTCCACACTGCCCCGCACGGCGTGATCATGTATTCTATATTGCTTCAAACTCAGCACCTGATACTGCGCATAAGGACAGAACAGCAATCAAGCTTTTGTGGCTAACGGCTATCATGCACTTACAGCTATGGGTGGCTAACCAAAGTCAGCAGTGGTCACCTGACAGCTCACCTTGCGGAAGAAGGTGGTGGAGAGGCTGAGCCAGTTGGGTCGACCCGTGCACATGGGTTTCCTCTGAGAGGGAGGCAGCTGATTCCAGCGAAGCACCTGTGCCAGAATCATATTTAGCTCACAGTACAATCGTAAACGATAAAATGTCTGCAGATGGGCATGGTCTAAGAACCTTTTTTGGTCGCAAGCCAACACATAGGATAAACATTCGTGACCCATTCACACGATGCACTGTTACGAGAAAACCTAGCTGTACTCAACTGAATCATGTAAGGATTAGTCGAGTTACGCAGATATCCTCCACGTCCTCACTTTGCCAAGCAGTCCATTTGGACAGCATCATCCGAGACGGAGCTGCGAATGACCCTGAACTCCGAGAAACGTCCCAGTCCGACGCCATGAGCTTTAATCTTTTCAGCTCAGGTTAGCAATCCCGTCCCGGACCAGGTCCTGTTTTTATTCTATTCTCGTTCTACAGCCTGTGTCCGTAACAACGGCCATTGCACTTCGTGCGATACATTCACCATTCCGCATAGCATCAGTAGCAGCACGCCCTTCCCTGGCGATGTACCTATGCAATGCTTTCGGCGAATAGACGGCACCCAAATGCTTTACTTCCCCAAGTCTGTATCCTGTGCAGTGTCCCGTGTCCTGTGTAGTTCGGAGACCAGCACAGACTCATGCCGCCTCTCACCCAGACCGGGATCTCCCACACCAAGTCCAGACCAGCTCATCACCCCGCCGCTCACCCGGATTTGGATCCCATGCACACCGTCCTGCCCAGTACCTCGTTCACCCCACCACTCAGCCACCCCGCTACCCACCCTGGCTTGGATCCTATGCACGTCGTCCTGCCCAGTACCTCGTTCACCCCACCACTCAGCCACGCCCAGATTTCCCGGGTCGTGTGCAGCACCCAGACCAGCACCGCCCCACCTCTCCCCTCAACTGGACATCGATCTCTTGCATACAGTCCAGCCAGCGCCCGTCACTTCGCCACCCACCCGAGTCTGGATCTCCTGTGAAGAGCCTTGACCAACATCCCATCAGAACCTCTCCCCGGACTAAGTCTCTTGTACATATTACTGGCCAGCACCCGTCACAAGGCCTCTCACCCGACGTGATTGGAATGGAAAAGGCACGCACAGAAAAAAAAAGTTTTGTCGTTTTGTTTGTACGTTTGTTTGTAAACGTTTTGTCAGCAAGTCTTCTTCCAATGTACACCATACAATACAGCTCAGGTCAGAGGTAATGGAAGACTCGCCAAGTTTGGGAGTAATCAGCCGTGCTTGGCTACTTCGTTCCAGTCAGCACCCAAAGGCTTCATGTAAACCTCCAAGAAAGTTGGGGGCACGGCCTACCTAGTCTCCTTAGTTTTCAGTCCCCACGACCCTGGCTCGAGTACAAGCATAATCATCCAGAACAACGTTTAGTCCAAATGAGCCATTCAGCCCTGTCTTACTTGCAAACAAGTGACGAGATATCAATAGCAGCACAATTAACTCAGTTCATCAAATCATTTAATATTTTTTTTCTGGTGGCAAGAGCACAACTTAAAATTTTAAATTTCCTTTACATTGCTGCTCACGTGCCATAATATTGTTCTGCATCTTAGCTGACTCCTACGTTTTTCACTAGATAGAAATCTCAAGGCCGTTTGACTCGGTCTAATACTCCGTTTTTGCAACAGATTGAACACCCTAGGAATCGCTTTTCTCAACAGTCATCACCTGATTCTGACCTGCTGTAGGTTAGCGACCTTATAACGCACATTTATTTTACATCCCAAAAGATCGCCTATTGCAAAGAATACAGCTGATGAAAATGACTGCGCAACTGCACGACTGACGTCCCGCCCCCCCTCCCCCCCCCCCCTTCAGCGTCACCAGAGGCAGACTCAGACACAGACTCTGCGTAGTGACTGCGCGACTGCGCGACTGACTTCCCGCCCCCTCTTCAGCGTCACCAGAGGCAGACTTAGACACCGACCCTGCAGAGTGATTGCGCGACTGTGCGACTGACGTCCCTCCCCCCCCCCCCCCTCTTCAGCTTCGCCAGAAGCAGACCCGAATACCGAGTCTGAAGACTGCGCGACTGTGCGCCATGAGCGCTCCGCTTCAGTTGGCAAATCGCTTCTGGGCGACAAGCCACTTCGCCTTCGCGCACTGATGGCCGGGAAGCTGGCTGGCCGGTTTAGTATCTGGTCCACTGGGCGGAGCCACTGGTCAGGCCGGCAATCCTGCCTCTAAAGGCCTCATGTATGCTCAGTCGCGCCCTGGCCCTGGACCTCGTTACTCCTGGATATTTAGTACAGTTCAAAGACCAGCACTCCGCCAGCCCATCTCTCACCTGCGCCTGGATCTCGGCCACCCGGCTGCCATGCCGCTCCTTGGCCGACAACAGCTCGCGCTGCACCCAGGAATACAGCCGGAACGTGATGTCGAACAGGAACGAGGCCGGTAGGCAGAAGAGCACCACGATCAGACCGCGGTGGCGCTCCATCAGACGCACGGCGCGCTGCCGCCACCCGCCGCCGCCGCCGCCGCCGCCGCCGTCGCCGCCCGTTACCGTCATCTCGGTGGGGCTCTGTGGGGTGGCGGGTATCAGGTACAACCGGCCCCAGCAGGCAGAACTGCTTACGGCAAACTGTGGCAGGCCTCATTCGGGTCACATCTCTCAGCGTGGACCGTCATCGGTAGCAGACTCAGAAGCGCGTCAATCATTGGAGTACAGTCAGCAGCCAACTCCAAAGCCCAACACTCAAAACAGAGCACCAAGCCAGATAGAAACATCAGCAAGTGACTCTCGGTCAACGCTGCATCCAGTTCAATAATTCAGTCGCTACAGAGAATGCGGGCGCAAACGAAAGAGTTCCCCTTCCAGTTTACCCACGAGCCTGTTACTTGCGTACCAGCCATCTACTATTGCCACGCATTCAACCTAAGGGCTCGTGCGCCCGACTTGCATACGTACACTGATAACAAACTTGGCTGTGGAATAGGCTGCCAGACCCTGGGAATCATGCTTATGTTAAGCATTGCAAAATTCCACGTTTTTGTGGTGAGGATACGCGGATGAATATGAGTTCTAGACACTCCCCGAACGATTGCAGGCTTGTTTCTTCGCAGCGAGTCCGGGAGCAGCTAAACCGACTTTATCAGAGGCAGCGTTCCTCGGCGAGTCCGCAAACTCCTCCAGCAAACGCCCGAGCGCTCTCAGGAATTAATTCCATCAGCTTGCGAGTCAGGCGGTTCTCTAATGACGGATATTTTGTTTCGGTCCTTCCTCTGATCAGCAGCGCGACTCTCCCCAGTTGGGTCAGATGACGCGCTAGGTGATCTACCGGGTAGGACTACCCTCATTTACTCCCACTGCGCGACATGTACTGACAAAACAAAGCATGCATATATAGACAGAGGCGGCAAATGCAGACTTGCAAATCAGGCGTCTCTGTAATGGCGAATAGTTTGACTCAATTGTCTTTCGATCGGCAGGTTAGTGTAGTGCATTGTAGTGTAGCCCTGGGTCAGATGGCACGCCCTGGGAGCCTTCGGGTAAGGGTATTGGTATTAAGTATTTTTTTGCGACATGTACCGACAAAGCTAAATCATGCGTATGCCTTCTTCACCTGAGACAGAATGATGCACTTACCAACAGGAAACGCTTAACATTTCACATATCACAGCCGATGGACATCCCGGACATTGCGGTATTTATTGGACCACAGCATAGCGAAAATGCACACATGACTACATTACCTACCAAAAACAGCATTCAGCTAGCGTGAACGCACACGCACCGGACATTGACCATTGACCCACCACCATCCGCTTGTTCCCGTGGTACTGGCAAGGCGGCAGCCTGCGTCGGCTAAAACACAAAACCCGCAAGGTTCGTCTGAGGACCCCTGAGGCTTCGCCCTCCTCTCCCTGACAGCTACGCCATTGGGGATGAAGTACGCAACGGCGGATCTCACGTCACTCCCGCTGTCGTCGGTACCAGAAGGTGGCAGAGCACCTCACGGATTGTGGATCTATCCGATAGCCGGATCGGATCGGATCGGATCAAAAACTTCCACCGATGGATGAGGACCGGGCCGGACATTCCAGTTTTGTCAGCTCACACGGAATGGACGGATTGAAATCCAGTCGTATGCAAACTATTGCTAAGTAGCCCCTGAAAAGCTCAGCGAAGGCGCTCACACAGAAAGGAACCTTTAAACCAATCAACTACAGTGTGTGTGTACAGCAATACGGTAATCAAATCAAGTGATATGACATGATTTTAATTGCAAAACAGATCCAAATAAACAAATTTCACTTCTTAGTAATAATGGTCCTCATTACGCAATCGCTTGATCATTTCCTGGATCATTTCCATGGAACGCTTTTATGGCGACAGAGTCGCTGTCAGTTGCCGCTTGCAGGGGACGACGTGACCCACGGTGCTTCTAGAACGTTTCACAAAGCCGCAAGGTCACATTGTTGATTTATGCGTGAGAATTCAACGTACGAGTGCATGTACGCGTTCTATGGCCTTATCTCGTGGAGTTTTTGTATCTCTTTTGTGATGACATCTTCCTTACCTGCATTGCCATTTATGGTTATGGCGGTGTGCTTAAGTAATTCGGTTGATTCAGCTCATTGACGGCCATTATATCTGGGAATCGTGCTCACAGACGCCAGATTTGAGCGACTCGACAAGTATGTTTGTCTTGACTTTGACCGTCCCATGGTCAGTGGAATGGCAGGATTTGAATGACGTGATTTTTGCGTCATGAAATCCTGGGTAACCCTGAAATAGTCTGCACAAAAAGTCTGCACATCAATGCGGGCGTGTAGCTCAGAGATTGAAGGGTTTTAAGAGTCAAAGGGAGTGTCCTACAATTGTGTGCGGTTTTGAACAAAAACAGCTACCTTGAAGATCATTCAGTGCAGATCACAACCCTGCCTGTCTGAAGACCTAACAGCCTCTAGTTTCTGAATTACACACCCGCAGATATGTGCATATTATTTCGTGCAGCCGATTTCAAGATTATCCAGGGATCCATGACGTGGTAACAACGTCATTCAAATCTTGCCATTCCTCTGGCCATGCGGCGTTGCAGCTCAATAAAAAATTGTCGAGTCGTTCATATCCGGCGTTCGTGGGCACAATTTCCAGATCTAACTACCGTCAATTGGCTCTAAACCACTGTTATGCAAGCAATATCAGATTCTTACACGAATTATGTGTTGTGCTGCATAACACAAGTGGTTAAACATTCTTCCTAGTTATTACGGAAGGGAATTTGTACTTGAATAACTCGAAAGAAGTGTTCCACATCGGCATGAGATTGTGAACTGAAATGGTTAGTCAAAAATTGAGCTGCGACCTCTTCAGAGCGCCGTGACCGGCCGTGTACACCTCGGCCACAACCCCTGCCAACTCAGCTGCTGCGCCTGTAGACCCCCAAGACCAGCGCCAAAAAAGGCAACCGGAAACTCCCATTACACTCAAAACATGCGACTGCTTTGCCGCCAGCCGGCGCCGGCAGAGCGCCAATCTCTTACCGTAGATAGCGGCGGGCCCGCCTAGCGCCAGACGTCGGAGGCGCCCGGGTCCTGACGACGGCCCGATCCGTGGGCCAGGCGGCAGGCGAGTGGTCGCGTGGCCGGACCGCCGTTATCGAGCGCCCCACGCGGCGGGCCAGATACAAGGTCAGCCGACGATCCACGCACCGGGGCGCGGGCGCGGGCTGGGAAGGCGGGCCGGGCCGCGGCTCACATGCGGCTGACGGGATCCAGACATGTGACACGTCAGACTGGCCAGCGGCCGAGGCTTCATGATGACGAGCTGTGTGACAGGCGCGGTCAGGTAGCCACGGACTCTCTGGTTGCCCGCCGGTCAGGTGCATAGCAAGGCGAAGTATATTTGTTGGAGCCGACGCTTTTCGAGTACGTAGGTTCGCAAGGCGCCGGTGCCAAAAGCTTGAAGGCATCGGCGTAGAAACGTTTCAAAAAGTGGGTGGCCATTGCTGAGGGTATGCTGTTATTATTTTAGTACTTGACCCCAGTGTGACAGGTTAAAGATCAAACTTCCCAGAAAATCGCGCCTTTTTCAGGTCTTTTTATGTGTTTTGAGACTATAGTTAAGGTGCCTTACACCATAAATGTAACGATGTCGGCTCATCTCACACGTTGCGCGGCATCGCTGGCAGCCGCCTGCCGTCCGCGCCGGCCAAAGATCGTCGTGCAGTGGTCCTCAAAAACCGTCGCTGCTCCGAAACCAGAAAAGCTTTGAGTTTATAGGTTGCCTGTGTTTGAGAAGGGGTAGTTTGTGGCTTAAAACACGTACAATGGATGTCACATAGGCCACTGAAGAGTTAGGCGAATTGCACAAGGTGACTGAGAAATGTCTTCAAAAACCTTAGGGGGGGGGGGGGGAGGGACCGCACTGACACCCAACACTCCCCTATCAGGACGAGGGTCAAAGAGCTTTACCAGGAGGTTAGCATGGAGGACATTGTACGCTCTCAATTCACATAACACATTTTGAAGATATGGGAATGTCCTGGTTGCTATGCAACATATAGACCTTCAACTGTTCTCTGCTGGTGCACAGTCTAACCTATTCAACTCATCTATACCTGTTAGCGAGCAAACGGGCCGTCGCTGCCGGCGCGGCAGCAGTGTCTCCGCGACTGTGTGAGCGGCCCCTCTGCCGATTGGTTCTCACCATCTGGGGCCCATATGTGGTCCACGTGGTTTTATGGGACACGCGGACGGGGACGTACGATCCCTGCCGATCAGTCCACGTTCAGGCTCCGACGGCGTGGCCCGTCACGAGCCGCGGCAGCGTTTACGACGACGACGAAGACGACTTCGGAGTGTGCGCCGCCGCCCTTCCAACGTCTGTCTTAATTTTACTTTGCAACTATTTGGCTAAAAGAGGACTCTTCCCTTTCAACGTCTGTTTTCGAATCAAGTCGATGGTCCTCCGGAAAACTAACGAACTCTTTCACACGAACAATACCATTTGGTAAATAAGACCACTCGGCTTCTCCATTTTAATTTAGTTGTCTCCATTTTAACATTGGGGAGGCGAACTTTTACCAGCCGAGACGGAATTGGAGTCGTTGGGAAAGTATCTCCCTCCATAGTCTGCTTGTCAAAATACGGTCCTGATGTTTTACGGTCTTGATGTTTTTTTACGGTCAAAATTTCGAATTCATACCAATGACCCATTGAACGCCAAAGTTTTCCTGAGCCTGGATTTCGCCGATTGCTTTTTCAGAGATAAGCTTTTGTCGCGGCAGCTTAAGTAGAAACAGTCATAAACTCCAGATGCTATCTGTCAAAAACAACATGACAAGTCATAAAACTGGGTTTTCTTCTGTCTTAAGCCAAGTCGCAGAATGAAGGCCCTTCTGTCAGATGTTCTTTGTCCGAGCCCTGTTCCCACCCATCGTTGGCAGCTTCTGCCCACGGCTTTCCCTCGCATGGCCGAAAAGTTCATACGCGTAAACTGATTGGTGCGAACTGATCGTATGACTGCTTTGCTGCATAGTTATAGACCAGCATCACTCTTTCCGGTGCGTAATGCTGATGGGGCACCTCCTACAGCATGTGGTTTTGAAAATAGTCTTCCCTTACACCACACCGCAGCAGAAAGCAGACTTTCACGAAACTGCCTGCCTTAGGCATGAACTGGTCCACCGTGCGCTCATTTGTCTTTCCTTCAACATAACCGATTTGATCCGTCATTGTATGTGGGACGAAAGTGCACACTTTCTAGAACGAGCTGCTACCTAAATATGTCGTAGGTGGGTAGCGTAACCTGGCATTATAGGACAAGAGTTAACGTTTATATTGCCGGCTTTTCACGCAACATTCGTAAATTACGCTATCGGACTGAGACTTAAGCCATTACAATTGCTTGCGTGCTTACTTCCATAAGCGACGAAGGGCACGCTTTAAAGAAACATGTGGATACCTGTTGCATTCTATGGACGAGTTTTAAAGAAGCATGTGGATACCTGTTGCATTCTAGGGGCGAGTTTTAAAGAAGCACGTGTAAACCTGCTGCGTGCTATGGGCGATCTGTAGTTGCATTGTTTTTGGATGCATTTAACATCGTCCATAGCGTTTCCTGGCCGATCATCCCAATGACTGTCAATATGCCTGATAGAAACCGGGTGTGATGTTTTGACCACCAGGGACGTATGCAGTCATGGTAAACAAACTGTATCTGTAAGCCAGTATTTCATGCAACAACATGGAGTGAACCGCTTGCACCCTTGACGAAAATCGGTCGCTGACCGCCCGCCTCTTCTCCGCCCGGTTTGCATCGGTTGCGTGCTGGGAGGTGGCTGTTGCAAGTATCTGAAGAACTGCATTTTACCTTTTCAAGAAGCAACCGCAAGCCCATGAGGAAAGTGCTTATACGAACACGAGAAAGCGTTGTCATAACCCTTACCGACTTCGTGTCACATAGTCATATGTCGAATGTAATGAAGCACATCAAAGTAGCAAGATGAATTATTACAAAGCATCACATCAGGCAGCACGTGCAACCGACCGTTTCACACGATGCGATTCCTCGTTCAATTGCCGGTCAAACAGTGCCAATTTCTGGTCGATCCAACACCTGGTTCCCGAGATGTGGGCACGGTTTGCAACAGCTCCTCGTCGACTTTACTGCGGGCCACATTTTCGGGACGTCCGTGCGAAACCGTTCGGCAGCGAACCCTGGGCCGCGGCGGCTCGCGAGCTACCTGTGGAAAACCGCATCGAGCGCCGGCGCGTCGTGTCCAAGTTTCACCATTCAGCGACCGGCCGTTCGGCCCGGGCACGATGCAGTGCAAAATATGACAGACAGACAATAGGCAGACGCAACCTAAGTAACTGGTATATTGATCTGGAAGGCCAACCTTGTTGTGGGCACCTTCCGCTATCACAACAACGGCCGCATCATTATGCAAAAAACACACACGCACAGTGTACATCTCTGGTCATTTCACTCGTGTTACATAAAACGCCCGCGAAATCGGGCATTTCAAGTGGTGCCAAAACATTTTCAATCAGATGGCGTGATAGCGGTCATTTTATGACAGTTACGTGTAACCCCGGCATTATATACAAACCTAGCTTTTACCCGACATGCATGACTGCGTCAACGCTTATGACAGATCCATCCCAAACACCATGAACCTTTATTGAGGGGACTAAGCTACCAGGCAGAAGAATAATAGCTATGTAGAAATACCAAGCGAAGCCTTCGTTTCTAGCGCAACCTGAAGTTGCCCTCAATATCCCCGTTCGCCGTGCATGGCAGGGCAAGGTGCTACCATTCACCACATGCAGCACTTAAATCCAGTGTAGTTTGAGAGGGATGACTGCTGAACTAAGCAAATCGGCATGCATGTTTGAGGTAGTACAAAGGTAAGCTGAATGCAACGTGAATATGAAAAAGTGGGGAACAGTTAACATTGATGCCTTCCCCGGCCTGAAAATTGGGAATGGTCAAGCCCCCTGTACCCTCCCCCTTTCCCGCCCTGTTCTTACAACATGCTGGAAGGCTGTTCAGGAGTATTGCTGGCAGGATGGCGGGTTTTGCCAGATCCCAAAACCCAAAGCTTACAAGATTATTATTTTTCAAGTCCCGAAGGAATGACGTTGAAATTTTGGCTAGATTTTTCAATCCAACAGGTGCAATTTTATGACATAAATTTTATGTTATGTCACATAAGAATTTGTTGATAGGCTAACAACATGCTACACTACTTGTAGCGTAGGAGTAATCACACTGAATTCATCATCATGCTTACCACAGCTTAACCTGGCATGCACTCCAGCTGCGTTTACGGGTTCCACCACAAACGTAAACACGTGATGGTTCTAACAGAAAAAAATCCACGAACACAGAATGAATGCAAGCACAAAGCGAAACCTAATGAGCATGCAACTGATGACAAATGGCTGGTCTGAGCTGGCAACAATGACCTAAATATGTGTGATTTGATCCCACGTACTGGATGACGTGAATATGCAAAACCTGGAACTAACTGCAACAAATATGTTTGTCTAATAATATTACCTCATGTGCACATTCTCAGTGCATTAATCCTGCCCATCAGAACTCTGAAAACTAGGCACCAAATAGCCAACTGGGTCTTCAAAGCAGTCATCGTCTTATGCTTGGTGAGACAACACCCCGAAATCAGTCTGAAAATCCTCAACCAGTTCAGCTTACTTCAATAGATGGAATTCCTGACAGACCTTTGCCTTTCTGCAAACGCGCCACTACTTGAATGTTTCATCACACACAACACAACTTTGCTACACACAACTTGAATGTTTCATCTGTACCTTCATGCTTCATTATCGTAGGCATGTTTTTGCCTCCGAGTTAATTCAAATTCTTTTTTCCATCCACTTATCACTATTTCCGTACTCGGTTTCCTGGCAGCTTTCGTGACGCCAGTCACGTTTTCCTCCGGAAAATCAATTATTCCCTGCCTATTTCTGAGAACATCTGTTACAAACTCGCTCCCCAGCCGACGTCCGCCGCTCTCCAGACGACGTTCATCCGCTCTCCAGCCGACATCCGCCGCTCTCCAGACGACGTTCGTCCGCTCTCCAGCCGACGTCCGCC